GTCCCTGAGATTAGGGTGGGCTGCTTCGGTGCTGTGGTTCTTTGGTTTTAGTGGCATGTGGGTTGTTGGCTGATCTTGGGTTTTGGGTCTGAGGGTCGTCTATCTATGAGAGGTTTTGGGTCTGGGGTCGGGTCTTATTAGGCGTTGGTTCTAATTTTAAGCTCAGTCCTTGGACCAGATCTCTTCCCTTGTGTTTGGTTGCCCTTGGTGGTGGTTGGTTTAATGGTTGCTTGCGGAGTTTCTAGCCTACTGTTGAGGAGGGGTTTAGTTGGGGTTTTGCTTTGTAGTTGTTTTGTGTTGTTTGTAAGTGTTTGTTGTTTTTCCTGTTCTTTAGAAGTGTAAATTCTCCGTTAGGGGGAGTTTGTTAGATTGTTTTGTGTTGTTCTGTGGTATTAAGGCTATCTTGAGTAGGCCTCTTCTATTTGGTTTCTTATCCAGTTATATTTGCGTTTTTTCTTTAGTGATTATATCGTTTTCAAAAAAATTTAGTCAAGTGCAATTTATTGGCTCTGTGCAAAAATAATGAGTTGATGTCCAATTCAATTGGGAGGTCAATGATGAACGGAATGATGATTTATAGTGGGGTACTGGGTTAGGGATGGTAACAAAGTGAAGAGGGTTAAATATTCAATTGTACGGTTAAATAAAAATGAAAAAATTACCCTCCTCGCGACATATATTTTATTATTAGACAAAAATACTCAGTTAATTTTTTAGGTACATTTTTACACATCATTAGCAATTTTTTGCTACAATTTATAATTGCGATATTTAAATATATAGTCTTCCTAAACCAAAACGTTTTTATGTATTGTAAAATGCTTAAATTATGTTAGGGAGATATTTTGATCTGGAAATTTCTGAACTCCAGAAGGCACACGGTGCAGACATGGAGGAGGGCGACAACGTGCGAATGTAGTCGTCGTCCTCGAACTCCAGAAGGCACATGGCGCAGTCGTGGAGGAGGCCGCCGCCGCCGACCTTGCAGGTGAAGACGGACAGGGGGATGGCCTTAATGACGGCCTCGTCGAGGCTGTAGGGAGAGAGGATGCGGAACGCGTCGACTGAATCAAAGGGGTACGACGGTGAAGAATCGACGTCGCCGAGAACGCGGAGGGAACGTAGCGGCAGTGGCCGTAGTATGCCTGGATCATGCAATGGGAGAAGAGGCGGGAGTAGGTAATGATGATGAAGGCAGTGGCGATGATGACAACCATAGTTATCCGCGGCGGGCTGAAGTCGACCAACAACTTTGACGCGTGGAGGGGCTTCGGTTGAGGAAGAGGAGGGAGTAAAATATTGTAATTATTATCAGTTTATTATAATTAGTTTGTAACATGTTTATTTAAATGTTATACATTGCATTTTTCTATACACAAGTTAGTTTATACTCATGAGGTTTATTTTACATTTATTTATAGTTTATTGACCATAAATCAAAATGATAACACGTAATTGTCCTTCAACATGGGAAAATGCAATAAATAAACTTAACAATACAAGATATAGTTTAATATGCCGCCATCACCATATATTTTTTGTAGGGGATTGAATATGTCTTCATATTATGCTCACTATCATTTCATTCACATATATGTTCACCGTATGCTCCCACGCTGATGCAAGCCTTTAGTTACGTCTTTAACCAGGTTGGTTTTGCCACAATGAACATTGACTCATCCTCGACTTCGACCAAGCCGAACCCTTGCCATTGGCGATTTTCTTGAAATTCTTCCTCAAATTATTTAAAATATGATAGTTCACATACAATGTGCAGCTTTTGGATATACACCATAAATTAAGTTTTTTATGCATTTATAAACAGTAGTTATATACACAACGAGGCTAGTGGGAGCAGCAAAACTACAGGCTAACAAACCAAACGCCCGTCGGATTCTTGACAACATAATCTAGCGGGTCGGGCCAGAGCATAGAGCACAACGTGCACTGTCATCATCCTAGGCCAGAACAAACTCTGGCTCGACTTCAAACCTCAGCTCGGCCTTGGTGATGTTGGCGATCGACTTCCACTCGTCGGCGAACGACAAGCGACGACATGCGTTTTCCTCATCCGGGCCAGATCCAACTCTAGCTCAACTTCGAACCTTGGCTCGGGTTTTGACGATGACGGAGATCGGCATCCACTCGTCCGCAAACGGCGTTTACCCGACACTAACAACGTCGGCGAGCGGTGCCCACCTGACACTAATTGCGTCCTTCAATAGTCGTCCCTAAACGTTCTGCAATTTCTAATGAATGTTCTACAAGGCGTTCGTGGAAATAGTTTTTTTGGAGATATGTCATATTTTTATTCTTTTTAACATTCATTTCATCGACAAACATAAATGTTTCCATAAAAGTATGTAATAGTTACACATTTTTATGCTTTGATTGGGGAAAGAGATTAAGACAAAGATAATGTTTTTAAAAAGATATGTAAAGTTACTTATTTTTATACCTTGACTAGTGTGGTACCCGTAAGATGCACGGTCGGCACATAACTTAAAACCTATTGAAATACTTATTTTAAATATAATTAATTAAATTTAACATCTAATTATGGAAAACAAAAATAAAAATAAAAAAGAAATCACATATTATTAAAAACTTCTCTTTATACAACATTATTTGTTTGATTTGTGGGAAAATCATGTTCACCACATATTAGAATATTCAAACCCTTTCGGTTGGTGACGTACGAAACAACAATATATAACTGGGGATGACTGAAAACTAGTTTCTTCAAGAATAAACCAACATGGGATAAGGATTGACCCTGGCTCTTGTTAATAGTCATTGCATAAGAGACTACGATAGGGAACTGCCTTCGTTGAAACTTAAAAGATACTCTTGCATCCGAACGTTCGAGGTATGAACACTCTATCCCCTGCATGGTCGCCCGTAACTATCCTACATTCTAGGATATGATTGGAGAGTCTTGTTATAACCAAATGTGTCCCGTTGTACAATCTCATAGAATGATCAATGTTCCACAACAGCATAATCGGAGTTCCCACCTTCAAATGCAACTCATGATTTGGTGTACTAGAACATTTGAGAGAATTTAAGAACTCAGGAGTGTGGATTTATGACAAGAAGTCAGAATTTAAATCGGATTTACACGTACTGCCGGAGCTCAAATTTACACGACCTTCTATTAGATTCAACGACGACATGTATTGGTTGATAGACTCAACGATCTCAATGTAGGTGCAAGTATGGCTCTGTCCTTCAGATAACTTGGATCATCTATTGCATTTTTTAACATTGGATACGTGCTCTCAACAATTGCAACAATGGGATCATCGGATGGGTCTATTAATAGATCATCTGGTATTTCAATGGAGGCACAACAATCGTTATAATCTTCAATAGTACCATCTCTGATGCTAGCAATCCAATCAGCAAATTTAGAAAGCTCCTCACGTTTATCCGAATCATCAAGGCTCTGAAGACGCATGTTCTTCGTTAGCCTAAGCACAGTACAATCTTACCAAATGGTTGAAGCATTTATTGAAGCATTAACAATCTGTTGACAGTTCTCCTTTGGAATTACCGGGAGGATTTGTCGAAAATCTCCACCAAAAACAACAGTCTTGCCACCAAATGGTCTATATTGGTTGATCAGGTTGACTGTTTCCATGATCGCCTGAAATGACGATTGAACAACTTCGAAGCAATGCTTATACATCATTGGAGCTTCACCCCATATGATGAGAGAGGACCGTATAATTAGCCCTGCCAGAGGGCTAGCATGGTTGATATCACACGATAAATTTTTGCGAAGATTAATAGGTATGCCAAAGCGAGAGTGTGTAGTTCTTCCACCAGGCAACAGAAGAGAAGCTATTACACTCGATGCAACACAAAGCACGAACTCACCCTTCGATCGTAATCCCGTAGCTAAAGTCCTCCACAAGTATGTCTTACCGGTTCCGCCATAACCGTAGACAAAGAAAACACCGCCCTGACCTGAGTCTACCGTTACCATAATTTTTGAATAAACTCCTTTCTGTTCGTCAATCATATTTCTAAGAAGAGTACTGTGCTCGACTGATAAGGCCTTGCGGTCATAATTTTGCTCATCCAAAATCAATCGATTTGTATTTGTAGTAAAAACCGATCATATCACGAAAAGGCATTGTTGGATATTCCCGAAGACTTGTGTCGCGACATCTCAGCAAATGTTCGATTTCAGCGAGAGCTAAATTTAATTCAGAGTAAGAATTTTATAAAAATCGACTATAGTACTTAAAAAGAAAATGAAAAATAATAAAATAAACAATAAAATATAAATAAAAAAATAAGTCACATACTTTCATTACTGAAGAGAAGACGTTGCATATAAACGATGTCATCAGAGAGAAAATTCAAACACTGTTCTCATACGTGCTCGGGTCTACCTAACGATCCAGATACCAACAACGTTGCAACCATACGTCTGAGAGAATCAGCAGATGCCTATTGACTTGCCTCAGATATGCCATCAATGTACTCATGATCGTCACCAACAAACATAGAGCGTGGCAAACATCACGATACGACAAATATTGAAATGAGAAGAGTAACATCCTTTGATGTGCTTATTCGCACTTTGCCTACATTAAATAAAATAATTAGGGGATTTTAAATTATAAATAAAATAAGAAAATTGTGATATAAAATTATTAAAATATTACCATCAAACACCTTAGCAACGGCACATTTGCATGATTATGATAAATTCTTGTGTTCATTCATATAGTAATACTCAATATCAATTAATAGATCAACATTTGTCCCCAAAGAGTACAATTCTTCTTTTCCATCTAAATAAATCGAATAAAATAAATTCAACAATAAATAATTGATAAGAAATCAAATAATCATTTTATACAATTATAGATAAACCACATGAATATGTAATTTTAGATGTACTTACTCCATGTTCATAAGGAAGAAAACAATCATTTGAGTAGGCACCCTGTTGATACCAAATTTTGGCCTCGCCTATTAAAATATTACACGTGGATATATAATAAATTAATTATTTTAATTTTGGGCCCTAAAATAATACGGCTTGTGATAATATCGGGCCCATTAAACATATATATTAATACCCCGATGATGGACATCATCGAGATAAGTCTGGGGGGACGCTACTATTATTTTTTCTCTCTTTATCTGAAAGAAACAGGCGGCGCCTGTGGATCTTCTTCCTCCATCATCTTCTTTTCAAAAAACACAGGAAAATATACAGAAAATTCCTCAGAAATTCACCATAAAATACACATCAAAAAATACACAATAAATTCCTTTGAACCCCCCATGTTGATCAAATTTCGAGCATCAAAATTTTGGCGCTAGAAGGAGGGCCCGTAAATTATTCGGGTTAATCCTCGCCGCAAAAATAGCGACATATCAACCGAAAACAAAAGACTACACTACGTTAGTCTTCTTGATCTCGTATCCTTCATGACCCAAA